CCCCCTGCACGCCCCCGACTGGGGATCGAGCCCACACCCCAGGCATGTGCCCTGACCGGGAATCGAACCGCAATCTCCTGGATCCTAGGTCGATGCTCAACCGCTGAGCCACACCCGGCCGGGCTCTCCATTTCTCAATGGCTGTCCTCACTATTCCCTTTTTGTAATCTTTAACTCCTCTGTTCAACAACTTGGAGACTCGCTGTCTTCCAAACTCTGGCCCAAAACTACCTTTCGGACTTTATCACATTTCTCCATCAAAAATGTTTGCTCCACTCCCTAGGCTTCCAACAGACTGGGCATGAATTTCTTCTGTTTTTAGTCAAATTAGTAGAATATATGAAATCCAAAAGTTTGGATTTGATTTTCTCCGTGATGTTGACCAAATTTCTCTCAGCTCGGTGATCTCAGTCTGAATTACAGCAACCCCCTTCACAGAGGTGGTGTGATGGTTACATAACCCAATGGGCCTGAAAGTGGCTAGCACAGTGTTTGGCACGTAAATATTTGCATGTCCACTCATTCATCACTGTGACCCTTCAAAGCTAACCTTGGCCATAAAAACTTTGTTGTCTGGTCCCAGAACTCTCTACTCTACCTTCCTCTGTCTTTCATGCTTTCCATGCACCATGTATTAATGCAAACTGTTCACTGGCATTTTTTGAGTAGGCTTTCTCCAAACATATTAAATTCCTTAAAATAAGAAACTCATTCACACTTCTGTATATAAAGGAAGTGCTAAAAATATTGAATCCAGAAGTCCTCCCCATTATAAAAAATGTTTTTGCCAAATTAGTACATTCTAGTAATGAGAAAACAGCTAAATATTACTTGTTCATTTTAACCACAAATCAAGGGGAAGGTCAGGTGACAAATGTCTCATTCTCATAGTAAAATTATATATTGCTGAATGTAAATCTTTTTTATATGAGTCAAAAATGCTTACACATAGTGGTGTAAAGGAGTCACACAGTTTGGTATACTTATCAGAAGCAGCAAATGAATATTTATAAAATTATCTAGCATTTTCTAAATTGACATTATCCTACATGTGATAATCTGATAAAAAAGTTAAGCAGCTTCCTTTGATGTCATTTACAGGCTAGAATAGTACTCCCTTACCTGAAATTTTGCTTTCTACTTTTCAGTTACCTTAGGTGATCAGCCGAGGTCTGAAAATATTAAATGGAAAATTCTAGAAATAAATAATTCATAAGTTTTAGATTGCGTGCTGGTCTAGGTAGCGTAATGAAATCCCATGCTATCAGTCTCTGTCCTGCTTAGGATGTGAATCATACCTTTGTCCAGCATCTTCACACTGTAGTTGTTCCCAGTTATTTAGTAGCTGATTCAGTTATTAGGTTGACTGTAGCACTATTGCAGAGCCTGTGTTCAAGTCAGCCTTGCTTTACTTCATAAGGCCTCATTCACCCTCCTTCATCTCATCACAGAGGCCTTTTATCATCTGGCATCATCACAAGAAGGGCAAGTACAGTACAACTCACGTAACTTTTATTACACTGCATTGTTACAATCATTCCATTTTATCTTCAACTATTATTGCTAATCTCTTACTGTGTCTTATTTATAAATTAAACTTTATGAAAGTTTATGTATGTATAGAAAAAACATAGTATTCACAGGGTCTGGTACTGTCTGAAGGTTTGTGCATCCACCGGCTGTCTTAGAACGTGTCCCCCAAGAATAAGGGAGGTGTGCTGTGATTGTTTTTGTTTGGATGACTTAGCGCTAGAGTTTATTGTCTTCCTCGTGTTTGCAATAAACTGAATAGTCAGAAGCAGCTGAATGCTCTTTATTTATTTCAAGATTATGATCAAATCATTGAGATTGGCTTGTGAAGTTTGGGGGAGAAAATAACTTTTTTATGATTTACATCACTAGCATCTTGCTAACCCAACTTCTTCTGAAACTAATGACTTCAAAATAATCTGTATAAATTCTAGATGTCATTGCTTACTACTCAGATTTTCCCTAACAAGCTAATGGCACAACATTTTAGAATATCCAAATGTATAATTGAAATTGCAACTCTAGTAAAACTGAGCCTTTTGGGAATGGTATGTTCATCTCCTAGATGGGCCTTAATGGGACAAAACCGCCAGGCACTCTGTGGGATGAGTGGGCTCCTGAACAGAGGACCGTAAGTGTTGGGCAGATGTGGTAAGCACTGTGGCAAAAGCTTTCTTGCTTTTTTTCTAGAACAGTGGCTTTAAACTGCTTCTAGGCGACTTAGGGTTCTGAGAAGATTTTATAGGATCAGTACAGCAGGGTGGGGTGG